TATGAGTCTGCTCCTTTGTGGCTTGTTACTTCACACTCCCTGTGCCTGAAATGTTAACTTATTTCCTTGCTCCATTATCCAGAATATTATGTTGATGGCAACCGATCCACTGAAGCACATTTTTCTTTTGCTTTTTAAATATGAAACATTGCAACGTAGAAGGATTTGGACATGTTGAAATACCCTATTTTGATATTCTTTCAAACCTAAGTGTTATTGCTACTGTCAGAAAGTATGTTGTGAATACTTGGCAGGTACTTTTCTCCTTCTTTTCCCTATTGTATACATGGTGAATTGTGGACTTGGATCATGACATTCTTGACAGATGAAACTCCCACCAGAATCTGTGCCTTATATTAATACGTAGTGATGTTTTGATGTAACTGTTAAAAGAGCCTATGTGAAAGGATTTTTAGCTGTAAACTACAGAGAAAATTAGAATGACAATTCCTCAAATAAATCTTAATTTGATATAGATTTAAAGTCTATTTAATCCCATCCTGACTCAGTAAATTAGAGAAGCAAGGTAATTTTCTGCCCTACCTCTGTTTTCATACAGTCAGATATAATATGCATTCTGGTGAAAATCAATACAGATTTTCAAAAATTATGTATCCATTGGGTTACCCAGAGAAGTTATGGATGTCCCATCCCTGGAAGTATTCAAAGCCAGGTTGGACAGGGCTTGGTGCAACCTGGTCTAGTGGAAAGTGCCCTTGCTTATGACAGGGGTATTGGAACCAGATGATCTTTAAGGTCCCTTTCAATCCAAACCATTCTGTGATTCTAAATTAGGCATTCCCAATTCTTCCTTTCTGTATGCACTTTATGGTGTTCTTTGGCTGTTAGAAGCTTGGTTAGTCCACCTGCAAAATAATACATCAGACAGCTAGACAGAGGCAAGTTGTTGAATGTAAAACGCTCCTGAAACATCTGCAGAAAAGATTAAACCTTATGGAAGTTCCTGAGGAAGCTTGAATATTCAGAGCAGCACTCAATAGCATTTTTGCCTTCTTTTTCCTCCCAAACATGGGACAACCTGTTTTATGACATATGAGGCTATTTAACATCTGAAGTACAAATGCTGTTATCGTCTCCTGATTCCTCTGATCTTAGGTAGGACTGCTTTCCAAGACAGGGTTTTGTTGCTGTCGTGGCTGTCTGTGGCAGGGACAGTCCTGCTGGTTTCCACTGCAGGCAACACTGTTTATTGAAATCTGAACTCAGCACTCAGTTCGTGAGAAGCCCACGGTGCCTCAGTCTTTCCAAGTGAACAACCTACTCAATTATAGATGGTCCATATCCCCTGGTGAGCATCTGAGATGAACCCTGATCCCTCTCTTCCAGTCAGAGTGTTTCCAACACACTTTGGATGTAGGTTACATTTCATGGGCTCAGTAGTGGTGCCACTTGTTGGAGTTGGAGAGATAATGAAAAATTCTACTGATAACTAAGCATTCTATTGATGTTTTCCATTCCCAGTGCAGTGTGAGATCTGGAATGGACATAGCCCAAATTGCTGTTCCTCTGTTTTAGGCAGTTTTTTAAGTCTTGTTCAATTTTGCTAATAACAATGAATAATGAGACTGTTCTTGTGCAACAGTCTCACTCTTTACTTTTATTGTATTACCATCAAGTGGATCTTCTCCAGCTTTACATCAACCTTTTGATCTCAAAAATTCACTTTATTTTGAGTCCTAAACCAGTGCAGTGCATAAGAGAGTAAGACAAGGTTGAGCAAGAGCTTACTGCAAGGCCACTCTGACTGCTGGAGTTAGCTGGAATTCCTCCCTTCAGTGCAAGATCTGATTTAAAAAAAAAAAATCCCATTAATTACCCCAGAGACCAGAGTCTGTATCATTTAGGAAAGAACATTTCCCACTGAAATCAATAAGTGTTGTTGAGAGGTAAGAAAAACATACCCAGTAGCCAGTCTATCCTATATATGATTACTAGGATGTGTGTGTACCTCTGTGCTAATGTTGCTTCATGTTTTTTCAGTTTCTTTTTATTCTTTCCTCAGCAAGGACAAAGATCATCACATGGTACCTTGTGTGCTCTGTTACATAATGATGATTCACCCCCAAGAGATAGCAGAGGGTTGAAAAAGATGAAAAGGCTATGCCAAGTTAACAAACACTCTGCACACATTAAAATGTGGCCATGAGTTTCTAAATAGATACCTAGGAAAGAAAAAGAAAAGAAAGATAGATGTATGTTGATTTATTGAGCAGGTTGTCCAGCCCATGTGTAAAATCTTTGTGACAGCAGAGTACATCATGACATCCTGCAGCTATCCCTCGGCTTACTCATCACCTACTGGGAAATGCACTGTCCTTGTTCATTACTGCCTCCTCTTTCCAAATATATATATCTGCAAGTTTTCTTCCTTTTGTAAAAAAATAGACATAAAATCCTTTGTCAGGTTTATTCCCTTAATATATAACTTAATATTTTCTTCCTTTGCTCGTGCTCTGAACTGTGCTCTTTTATGCATCATAGCAGCTGTGTGCAAGCATTTAAAACTTGGAATATCTTATTCTGATAACGGGTTTCTTTGCTGACTAAATAAGGATGTTGCAGGCTGTAAAGACAGTATGGCCAAAACAATGTTACCTGCTTCTTAAAGGGTCTTCTTATGGCAAACAGGTGTCCCTGGCTAAATTCATCTGCTTTGCTTTACCTGACGAAGAGAAAGCTAAGATCGATCAAGCAGTCAGGTCTTTATATCAGAAGGGTATCTCCAGATCTGCTGAGAGTTTTACTAAAAAATCATTTCACTCAAAATAAGATTAGAAAAAAAAAAAAAAAAGAGAACGTAAGGGAGTTTCATCCAGATGGAAATGTATTTTTTTAATTGTTTGTTTATGACAATATTTTCCCAGTTTTCATAGGCTTTTGTCAGCTGTTTAGTTTATTTGGTATCTGAAAACCTTTGAAATAAAATGTTTTCACAAATGTAAAAACCTCCCATCTATTGTTTTCCTTGTAATCCAAAAATTACAAGAAAGAAAGAAAGAAAGAAAGAAAGAAAGAAAGAAAGAAAGAAAGAAAAGAAAGAAAGAAAGAAAGAAAGAAAAAGAAAGAGTTATTCCTCCTGTGATCTAGATGTCCTGGTCCTTAGATCACTTCTATTGAATCCAGCTTTCTAGGGACTCAGGGAACAAGTTCATTCCTATGACAAGGAACTGAAGAGGAGGGTGTTATTGAAGAAAAAGACTAAGAAGGCGAAAAATGGAACTGTAATACTTCATAAAGCAAGCAGAAAATCAATCTATTTGCACACCACTACCCCCCACGTCCTTGGCCAGCCACTGCCCGGGGATCAGGGGTTCCTGTATGATGCAATTGGCCTTACTTAGCAAAAATGTGCACAAGTCTAACAACTCATCAAAGCTGTGTTCATCTCTTCCAGCCCCAGGCAGGTGATGGGGGTAGCATAACAATGTGATATTGCAAATGGTGTCCTGCTTGACCAGCCTGATTTCTTTCTCTGTCAAAGTGACCCACTTGCTGAGAGATGAGGGAAAGGCTGTGGGCGTTGTCTACCTGGAATTTAGCAAAGCATTTTACATCATTCCCTACAGCAGAAAAAACAGAGAAACTGGTTGTTCATGGCTGTTCCATGAACATCTTTGTTTCAGTAACAGTGTGGCAGCAGGGCCAGGGCAGTGCCCTCCCTGTGCTGGCACTGCTGAGGCACCTCCAGAGCTGGGGCAGTTCCGGGCCCTCAGACAGGAGAGACATTGAGGGGCTGGAGCGTGTGCAGGGAAGGGAACGGAGCTGGGGAAGGGTCTGGAGCAGCAGGAGCATCTGAGGGAGCTGGGGGGGCTCATCCTGGAGAAAAGGAGGCTCAGGGGGGACCTTCTGGCTCTGCAACTCCCTGACAGGAAGGGGAAGACAGGTGGGTATCGGGCTCTGCTGCCAGGGAACAAGGGACATGATGAGGGCAAACGGCCTCAAGCTGTGCCAGGGGAGGTTTAGGTTAGATATTAGGGAAAATTTCTTCACCAAGAGGGTTTATTAAGCATAAGAACAGGCTGCCCAGGGCAGTGGTGGAGTCACCATCCCTGGAGGGCATTAAAAGCTGTGTAGATGTGGCACTGAGGGACATGGTGGGCTTGGCAGTGTTAGTTTTATGGTGGGACTTGATGACCTTAAAGCACTTTTCCAAACTCAATGATACTATAATTTGTTGGTTTGTGGCTGCAATATCTATCACCCCAAAAGCACGAAGCCCTTCACTTCAACAAAAAAAAAAAAAAAAAATTAGTCCAAGAGCTTTGAAGTTCTTTGAGCTGCTGAGCCCTCAAATCCAAAGCTGTCTTTCACCCCATTATCTGTGTTCCTGCATTCATGACCGAGGCTGAACCAAATGAAGGAAGATAGACTACATTTGTAATGGGATTAATGGAGATTTTAATGGATAATTTATGGCTGATCAAATGTATTTGAGTGGGATGCTGAACCAAAATGTTCTACCAGACATATTTAAAGGAAAATAATAATGACAAAAAACTTTCATTTCCATTTATAATCTACCTTTACATGACCTTAATTCAGTTAGTTTATGCAATATTCATAGCAGCAAAAAATCTTCTCTATATCTTGCTTAAATAGTTCCACTGTAAGCCTGAGTGGAAGCTAAAAGGAAATAGTAAAAATTAATAAAGTGTTTTAAAACATTCACAGGGAAATTCAAAGGGCTCAGAATCTGATCTTTTTCCATCACTTCAATTTTGAAAAATTGTTCTGGTTTGGCAGAATATCCTGGATTTTATACATGTCTATATATTTCCCCATTCAGAAAATAGGAAAACTTTCATTCTTGTCTCTGTGTTTTTGAGCTTAAGTTGATCGTGATCAGTTTTCATATCACAACATTGTTAAAGCAACTCTAAGCACACAATATTTTATTTCATGATAAAGTCATAAAAACAAGCATTCTAGGGAAGTAGAATTTAACAATCTGAAACTGCAGTTTAGGAATATGTTTTTTTCTTTGAAAAAATAAAATAGTGCCACATAAAAGTAACAATTTGCAGTCTCCTTTCAAAGACATTGTAAACATTTTGCGTTATATAGAATAAAACTAAACTTTCCTCTGTTGTTCTTGAACCTGTCACAATATTATATAAATACTCTCAACTTCATTTAAGTAATTGCAGCCTAGACGATGTCTGTGAAAATGAGGCAGTTTAGATAATTGAAAAACTGGCCTTGAGCCTTTGATTAACACTATATATTCTTCAGTTGATTTAATCTTTTCTGTACTGCTATTTAGAGTGTGATTATGACCACAGTGCTGAGCATAGAAAATCTTGAGTTGGAAGGGTCCCACTGGGATCATCAAAGTCCAGCTCCTGGCCCTGCACAGGATAGCCCTGGCATGACCAACTCTATGAGGAGGAATCCATTTGCAAGGCAGATGTTTTTCCCAGTGCTCTGGAAGAGAGTAAGCTCAAAATCATGACAATTTTTGTAAGTTTGTTGGCATTAGATAAGTCATCATGGGATGAAGATACAGAGCTAAGAATCTTATTTTCTTGTCATTTTCCTGTGTTGTAAGCTTTTGTTGGAGAACACTCTGCACTATCCATCCATAAGTCTTTGGAAAACTTCGGTTGGCTTCAGAGAGTAGAGAAAAAATCCAACATGTGCTTCAAAGATAATCAAATTTCTAAAAAAAAATAAATAAATAAATCTGTGGAAATCAAGACCTGGAGAAATAAATAAAAACTATCTGAATTATTGTCCTTTTCAGGCTAGAAGAAAGCAGACCCCAATGAGTGACTGCACAGTTGTCATTCCCACATCTACACTGACACACAGTCATGTCATTCCTCTTTTAACTGGGCATCCCAGGACCTGACTCATTCAGGGGGAAAGGAGACTCTGGAAAAAGTGTGAGAAGCTGAATTATGGATAGGTAGGGAAAATTTAGAGGATACTCTACCTGACTCCGTAGGAAACTGGGTTCATGCTGCTCATGAAAGAAGTTGTTGACTGAAAGTTTCCACAAGAGGAAAGAATAATCCTGCAGGTCTTGCTCCACAGAGGGAGGCCAGGATAATTCCCGCCTGGCTTGCTACTTCCCAGCCATCAGAGCCCTGGGAAAAAAGAAACTTTGTTTTGATTTTTGCAGATTTTTAATTAAAGTGTTTATCATTCCACTGAAGATAAGAAGAAGTGCACAGAGTGATGGGATTTTTTTCTTCTTATTCTTATTTATTTTTCTTCAGTGCTTCCTCCCCTGTGAGTAGTACTACTTCAAGTGAAATAAAATTTCCCCCTTGGTCAAACACAGTGGAATTTTGTTGGAAACAAAGCATCTGAAGTTGTTTCCATCTTATTTCTTTCCCTCTAAATGGTTTGCCCATACACTTTAGGAAGGCAATCCCTTTCATGTTGCATAGAACATCCTCACTGGCAGCTACAGTGTGTGCACTTTATTAGAGCATTTTTTCCCCCTAGATATAATGGCACCAATTAAATTACCTTGCAGCCTGACCTTAATCTGGCAGGAATGATTATTCCATGAAACAGTTAGGGCTCTAATTGACATGAAGTGCCTGCAAAATATGTCTTTTGCAGCAGACCCTGTCAAAGTCACATTGATATGCTAATACCTATAGCTGGCAGAATCACTTCATAAAGAGAGACACTGAAAATTGAATTATTTCAATTTCAGTACCTAGGAATCTAGTGATCTGTCTGTATATGGAACTAAGTAGGTGCAGTACTTTATACGGGTAAACAGCTGTACTAGGGCGTTGCTATGGAAACTGCTTGACTCATGACAATTGTGTTAGTGATGAAGTCATTAGTGGTGTGAAATGTACTTTGAGGTTGTCAAGTGTACACTCCAGGAATATTTCAACAGTATTACTGGAGCCTTTTCATTTGCATAATTTGGGCTTTCACATGTGATCTGGTTACCGTGCAGAGAAATGCCACGTAACATCCACGGCATGGCTGTGCTCAGATTGTTCTGGTGTGGCTCTGCAGCAGAATGTAATTGGTCCATGCATGTAGAATAAAGCTCCCTCTGTAACAGAACCTTCCTTTCCTTGGTTTGGTTTGGTTTGGTTTGGATTGATTTGGCTGCTTTTTTTTTTTGGTTGGTTGTTTTTTTTGTGGTTTTTTTTTTTTTTTTTCAAATAAAAAAGTAGTTTTGAGGCATAGCACTCTTCAAAGAATGATCTGCTTAAACTTTTATGGTGCCAAGTTGACTTTGATAGTCTGGACCTCTGTTGCTTGTTTTCACTACAACAGCTCCAGGTTTACCCCAGAGAAAGCAGAAGTAGGTTCAGGATCATAGGGAGCTCCTTTTTTCTCATCTTAGCTTTTCACTATTTATCACAGTTAGTGTGATTTCCTATGCTATAAAGCTGAATGATGAATCCCAGGACTTCTCTTGGAGTCACATGCCCTTTCTTCTAGTTCTGAGTGTTTCAGACTATGGAATGCTCTTTTTTTCTACTGGCAGGGGGATACAAAAAAGACCTTAGCTGGGCTTTGACAAGCTGTCTGAAGGGACTCCTGTAGTTTTCATGTGCCCTCTGGCAGTAGGGTGCCTGGTAATGCTGCAATGTTTATTCCTTTACATGTTCTGCTCTTCTTCTGGGCTCTCCCTGAGCAAGTAGGCAAGAAGGAAGAACAGGTTGCAGTTCTGCTTGATGGCGGGACATCACTCTGCCATGACAGTCACCTATCAGGCCCATTTCCAGAGGAATACTAGTGGTTCCCCAGGTAATGTGGACCCAGAGGATGTTCAGACACTAGAATAGTCTCCCCAGAGCAGTGGTCATGGCTCCAAGCCTGGCAGAGTACAAGGATTGTTTGGACAATGCTCTCAGGCACATGGTGAGATCCTTGAGCCTGTCCTGTGCAGAGCCAGGAGCTGGACTCAATGACGTTTTCAACTCAGAATATTCTCTAACTCTATAAATCTATGAATTAACAATAAAAAAATAAAAATAAAGGGAAAAGAGGGCCTATTTAGTCTGCATGCACACATATGGGTATACACACACACACACAGATGATGCATAAGATGTCACCAGCAGCAGATCAATGCAAGAACTCAAGATTGTCACCAAGATAAGTTAGCAGCCTGCTAATACCAGAGCTTGTGAGTTGATCTTATTTCTCAACAGTGTCTGATCTACTGAAATGCAATCTAATGCTGTATGTTCACTCTATATGTTCAGCCTAATACTGTATAATCACCAGCCTCTTATGTATTAATTACAGCTTAGCTTTACAATTGGGATGAGCAGAAAAGTAAGCATGAAATCAAAGCTGGATTTGATTAGCATACTTTGACAGGATCTTTACTAGTCAAGGGTATCTTTAATATTGTATTTAAAATGTGTGCATCTGTGTGTGAGGTGGTGGAAGAGACATTTCAGCAGACTCTGGTAGTATAATAACAAACTTTTCCAAATCATTACCAGTTTGGAGATTTGAGCTATTGTTAGAGTTCAATGTCTTTCTGAATCAATTTGTTTTCCTGTCCAGTGTCCTCCATTCTACCTGGGGAAAAAAAAAAAAAAAGAAAATCTGTTTTTCTCCTTGGAAACAAATATTATTTCTTTCAATGATGACAAAAAAATTCATCTTTCTATTTTCTGAAAATTTAAGATGATCTGTTGGTGTGGCTAAGCTAATGGAAAAGTAAATAGGACAAACAGACAAGATTCTCGTAGTTTGGCACAACCAGTCCATATTAAGGAAAGAGATTATACATCAAACTTCATGTTGAAATCCTCTATTTCTTTCAAATCTGGTTCATTAAGTCATATTTCACACTTTTGTAGTTGTTTTGGTTTGGTTTGTTTTTTTCTCTGATCCACTCCACTGATCCCTTTGGAGTTTAATATTTTGGACCAGCCAGGATAGAAGACTTTGCATAACTGATCCCCAAATTAGCTTCATTCCATTGCAATATGGGAAAGCTGAAAGCATCCTCCAAAAATTGGCTGGAGAAATTAAATGTATCTTCATACTAAACTATGAACAAAAAAGGTACCATTTTGGCATTATTCTTTCTATAATTCCTCCATATGCTTTCTGCAACAAATTGTTTACCTTCTTCTTTTAGCAACAACAACACAGATAGTTAAACATCAGGGTCCTATACCAACACAAGCAGTTAGTTGGATTTGAGACTGTGAACTAGATCTTTAGGTACAGCATGGCCACCCATCAGCCCTAAAGGTAGTTTAGCCTTGAGAACCTCTTTGTGTGGGGATACGTGGTTTGGAGGGAGCTGCTATGAACAGCCAGGCTCCAAATCCGCTGTCCTTGGAGGGAGATCCTAGAAGTACATGGTGCCTGCGTGCTCACACAAACAGGGAATGCTTCCCAACTATCCAGACCCTACTATCAGGGATAAAGTGATTAGGAGATTGAATTTGCCTGGCCTAAAGCTGGTTGTAAACCATATTTAGCTTCTGCACATTTGAAATTGCAATGTATAGGCTCTAGGCCATGGGTTGGTTAGTGGTTTATGCCTGATTTGTGGTTGGTCCCAAAAAAGTTTTCATCACGAAAGACTTCACATGTAAAAAACCCACTCCTACTTAGGTCTCAATTTTTGGAGAAAATGACATCTTCGTATTCATTGCTTGTGCAGTGGCCTCGTATTCACTGCTTCAGCTGGAAGCTGAAGTCTCTTTTCATCATGAAGGGGTAAAACTCTTTTACTTACTTTTGGCCCCACATTCTGAATTAAAGAAATATAAGGGAGGCAGGAGGGGAGGAAAAGTAGGTTTGAGCATCTTCTACTGTTCCTCTGGCTTTCAGATGGACTGAGCAAGATTTCAGGGGATGTTTTCCATCACAGGATGCCGTGGAAAACCTCTGGTGCAAACCAGAGAGCCTTGGTGCTATTTTTGTGTGGCTAACACACCCCATGTGAACTGAACTTACTCGGCAGCGTCTGCTCCTTGGACAGGTGCATTGGGATCTGCTACAGGTTCTTGCTTGGCACAGATTCACTCAGGCAACACCACTCTTAAAGTCACATTTTTTGCCTCACGGGTATAAAGGTAAACCCAGTGACGGGGGGATTTAGATACTCCATCTCTCCTCTCTTCCAGCCATAATTGGCATTTCTCGCGAAAGCTTTACATAATTTTAATTCATTGTTGCTCATGCACTGATGATTTTCTGGTCGTTTTGAATCCGGCTTTGGTTTAAGCACAGCAACAAACCAGGGTTCAGCAAAGGGGAGAGATGGTATGTAAAAGGGAGAGAGACTATGTTGTGATGGATAAATAAGGGAAGCACTCCAAGCTAAAGACTTCAGGTAGGTATGAAATGACACGTCTGGCAGGTTTTTTTTTTCAGGCTTCCCCGTCAGTGAAAACCTGATGGGTGAGTGGAAGTGAGCAGGGAGAAGCTTGATCATCTTTGTTCAGTCCTCCAGAGGAAAGCTCCCTGCAGCACAGATCTGGGTTTTTTTTTCTCTCCATAGAAGAAACAGCAGCAGAATGTTAACAAGCTTCATTTTCCGTTCCCAACAACGAGGAAGTGACCTTTGCCCGCCTCCCTGGCTGTTTGTGTTCTTGATGCTGATAGAGCCAGATTTTCATAAGACAGACCTGGGAAATTTTCATGGCAACCGCACTGTTGCAAACCAATTAGCAAGCCAGCTTGATAGGGTAAGGTTGTGGAGATGCCCATGGCTGCTTTAATAAAGTTTCCTGTGTATCAGTATGATACTATTGATTTTTCTCCCTTTGGACAAAAAGACTAAAGTTCAAGCTCTGCAGCAGATAAAGTGAAAACTGTGGAGATTCCATTGCATGTATACTAATTTAACCTTTTGGAAGGAAAAAAAAAAAAGAGAGGTATTATATGCAGGGTTCCTTTTGCTTCTGTACACACTATTTAACGTTAATGCAAATAAAACTGTGGCTGTGCTGAAGACTCTGCTGGCCTAAAGGCCACCATGGATTACAAATCGAGTCATCAGCAGAGAGCTGGGCGCTTTGCAGAGACACATGGGAAAGTATGATTCCCACACACAGAGGTAGACAGGGAAGGCATTGGAGGCAAAGGGATGTGGGAAGTACAAAAGCAATGCAACTGAGGGCCCCTGTGAAAGTTACTGCTGCCCCATGAGTTTCTGCCCATCTGTTGAGCCAAAACAGACACTGTGTGGGCTCTGAGCCCACTGAGAGGTGAATTTAAGCCACTCTGCTGCCTTGTTGGCTTAAAACTGTTCCTTGGAGGGATTCAGTGCTTGTCTGCATATTAACAAGGAGAGTGATCCCAGCTGGACAGGGTGGAGAGACTGTATCATGTTATTGTCATTTATTGATTGTCTGATTTTACTGGAAAACGACTGGAAATCAGCACTGCCTGGACAAGGGAGGGGAGAGCATAGGAGACAGGAGCACCCTGAAGCACTGGCGAAGCTGGCCCTTGTTTCTGTTTCTGGGTTCCTGGGTCAGCTCTGTGTGGACTCAGTTTCTACCTGTCCACAACTCCACCAAGCCCAAATACTTAAAAGTTGTGAGCCAGACTTCACGGGTTTTGAGAAAAGTGGAGAGAAAAATAACAAGGGATTTTATTTTCTTTTCTTTCCTTCTGTGGGATTGGGTGTTTTAAGAAAGCCTTTTGCCTTTATATGTAATCCTCTTTCATGAACACGAAATCTATAACATAATTCAAAGAGAGTAAGAAAGAAGACTTGGGAACTTTTCTGTGATGTAGTGTTTTCCTGACAGTTTGTGGGCTCACTCACAAAATAAGCTGAACCCTAAACCACATTTTCCTTCACTTTTCAGTTGTAGGAATCCAAAGGAATAA